GTGTTTATCTTCACCTGAAACACTCTCAGGCTTTTAGCATTTAGAAAGCTGCAGGGTGACTTGACTCAGTGTAAAATAATGTTAGTCTCTGACCCTGATGTAGTTGGCGTTGATGTAGCCGTCTGGCCCCGCCTCTTCCTCTGGGCTCCTCAGGATCACCCGGCTCTCAGTGTCTAAACGGTAAACAACAAACCACAACAATAAGCAAGCGTGAAAACTGCTGTGTTTCTACTGAGCACAGGAAGGACGGCTGAGGTACTGACTGGGTAGGATGGTTTTGTATCTGTCTTTGATCATGTGTCCTGGCACATCAAGCTCTGCAGCGCTCACAAAGTTAGGAGGTATCTTCTGTGGAGGAGACAGGGAGGGGCTGGACGTTAAAACAAACCCACAAACACATCTCACACCGAGCTCACATGTGGAGGTTGCCTTGAATGTCCCCACGCTCGACACACAGGAAGCAACAGGTGTGTTTTTAAAACAACAAATAAAGTTACCTGGTACTCTACATTCAGTGTCTTTGTGTCCACGGCGGCCTGCTGCAGCATCGTGTGCGTGAGTGTTCTCGAGGAGGTGTGTAGCAGCTGAAGCCACACCTCCTTTGGGGTGGTAACGGAACAAACAGGCTCCACCCCCAGGCTGCTCACGTCCAGTAGCAGAGACAGGTTGGACCCCCGCCTACAGAAAGAGCACAGTAGAGAATCAGCGTTACGACTGTTAAGGCCAGTTTATACTTCTGTGTTGAGTCTGCGCTGTAGCCGACGGCGTAGGCTACGTGTCGTTGTGAGTATTTATACTCGGGTGACGGTGTCTGCGTCGCTTTGCAGCGACTCCGCCATGATGCTCCACCGTGTTGAGTTTATTCTTCTTCGTTGGTGTGGTTCAACCTGTTATCATCCCAGGGCGTCAGGCGTTGTTTATGTATGTACAGGGCTCTACGGTCATGTTAGCAATAATAATATGCAACTTCTGGTTAGACTTTCAAAATAACACTACTGGTTATTGTTGTGCAATGTCGCAGTTTAGTTAGGTTTAAGAAAAGATCTTGATGTGGGTTAAAATCAGTATGTCAATTACGTGATTTAAATTACGTTAGTTAAGTAAAGCTAGTTACATAAAAGAAATCAATGTTGACTTTTTGTTTCACACAGGAAACAAACACCAGGAGTCCAGGGTTTGTGTCCCGTATGAAACAAAAAGTCAACATTAAATATTTTTATTTAAGTCTTACGTTTTTACTGACATATATATTTATTTAAATCCAAACATGATCTTTTCCTAACCCTAAGCAAGTACTTTTTGTGCCTAAATCTAACCAAATAGCAACGTTTCACGACTTTGATTCCGTGCCGTTTCAAAGGCGATGTTTCGAAACGCTAGCGTTTTATTTTGAAAGTCTAACCGGACGTTGCATATTTATTGTTGCTATGCGTTGCTAAAGGGAAACCCAGGGTGTGAAAAAGCGACGCCAAAGGGCCTTGACCAATCGTCAATATGTGGCGAGTCGCCCAAACCGAGACCAAGTCAAGACCAAGACCAGAGTTTATCGAGACCGAGACAAGACCGAGACAAGACCAAGACGTTTAAGGGTTGAGAGCAAGCTGAGACCGAGACCGAGGGAGGACAAGAACGAGTCAAGATCGGACCAGTTCCCCACATTACATGACGCACGATAAAATGTGGAACGACATCATAGGTACTTCTCAAATTGAGACGTACTTGTGAAAACACCCACATGCAAACACTAATTTGAAATCAACATAAGCACCTTTATTCAGCGCTCCTTTCCCATGCTGACCATCGCATAACAACACATTTTTAATTAGGGTTATTGCATTTGAAGCAATGAGTTTTACATCCAATCAAAGTTAAGATGTTGACAAATAAAACAGACAATGCAAAAGGAATTTATTGATATTCCCACGTTTAGATCCATTGCAGAAGTATAAATTGACATCAAAAAGAGAGGACATTTTTAGAAAGCGAAGACACTTTTCATAAACGAACATGTCTTTGGAAAGTAGGATGTTTAAAATAATATCATACTACTTTGTGTGTGTGTGTGTGTGTGTGTGGTAAACACCCACCTCTCCTGCAGGCGGACCGAGGCTTTGCGAGGAGGTGTGGTCATGGGCGGAGGCGTGATCGGGTCCTCAGCAGTAGGGGAGGCTGAGCTCACTGCAAACGGCATACTCATGGTGTGTGTGTGTGTGTATTTGAGTTAGTCTTAGCTGTTCATCTCAACGTCACACTGCAGGAGAGAGAAAAGGACAGTCAGTTCGTCATAACATCGCGGTAAACAAGGCGACCTGCTGGACCAGACCCCACAGAGAAATCTGCATTTTTTTTGTGGGTGTAGTTTCTGGACAAGTGACAAATTAAAGTATCCTCAAAACAGTCAGTCCATCCTCCCAGAATGCAATGCACAAGGGAATTGGAGGAGGTATTCACTGCTGCAAAACCATCCTGAGACTTTAGGAAACATATTTTCATATTTGGAAAAGTTATACTGGGGTGTTAAAGTTGCAGTTTGACATCAGACTCCACGTGTGCACATATACTGTATAATTTCCTGTTAGCATGCTAACATTTGCTTCGGAGCACCAAACACAAAGTACAGCTGAGGATGATGGGAATGTTAGTTTTGCAGGTATTTGGTCTTAAATACAAGACAAATAACAATTTGGACCCGATGGCAGTAGAAGAAAAGTCAGAGCATCACCAAAGTCAGTAAGATGCTTTCTCTGGGGACGACAAGCCCCATACCTAAACCACAAAATAGGTCTTAAGTTTCTCCAACACAACAAATAAGACAGTTTTCCAAAACAACATAAATGGGCGTTTCCTGTAGGAGTCCAGCGACAGGCGTGCTGGACCTTCAATGTGTTACCCAGGTCTATAACACATCCAAAATGTTGTAAAAATGTTTGTGGTTAGGTTTAGGCACCAGAACTAGTTAGTTTCAAGAAAAGATCGTGGCTTGGGTTAAAGTTAGTAAAGTTACATAAGTCAGTAAATTTACGTGGACTTCGTGCTCTTTATAATAAGATTTGGGACTTCCTCCTTTGCTACCGTCGTACGGCCACTAGGCGTTTCTAAAAACGCAAAGATGCGTCTTAATAAGCTGTACAATAATCGACCCGTACAGAGGTTTTGGTTTCTGGTGAGGACGGGCTGCTGGGGACGGTGCATGTCTGAAAGTTTGAGCCAATCCAATCTCATCGATGTTGCTATGTTTCAGTCTGGACCAAAGTGTTGGACAGACAGACAGACAGACAGACACCCCATAAAGCCAGACAAGCGAATCTTCCCAAATTCAATGCTTCATCTTTGATAGATAAAAATTGGTTGAACCTACAGACTCTGAAAACAACAGCTACATCAGAATGCCGTTTGTGGATTTCAGCTCAGCATTCAACACAATCTCCCCATGAAGCTGATCAGCAAACTCAAGTCCTCTGGGTTTAAATACAACACTCTGCAACTGGATATTGGACTTCCTCACAAACAGACTCTAGTCAGTTCAGATTGGCGGACACACCTCCTCCACTCTGGTGCTCAACACCGGAGCCCCCCAGGGCTGTGTGCTCAGCCCCCTCCTGTTCACGCTGTACACGACAACATGGAGAGTTGTGAAGTTTGCAGACGACACCCTCATCATCGGCTGGATTTCAAACAACGAAACAACTTCATACCGGGAGGAAATTGATAATCTTGCAGAGTGGTGCTCAGAGAAAAACCTGCTGCTCAATGTCAGCAAGACCAAGCAGCTGATCGTTGATTTCAGGAAGAAGGAGATAAAGACACACACTCCTGTCTACATCAGTGGAGCGGAGGTGAAGCAGGTGAACAGTTTCAGGTTCCTTGGAATCAGCATCACAGAGAACCTGACATCTCACATCTCCACACTGCAGAAAGCTCAGAAATGACTTGAGGAAGCTTAAGAAGGCCAAATTCCTCCAAAGTTCTTGTCAGCTTTTACAGAGGAGCCAATAGAAACAGCCCAGGACCGGAGGGCTCTGCAGGGTGATTCAAACTGCTCAGAAGATCATTGGTACCCATCTCCCGAGCATCAGTGATATCGGTGAGGTGCCTGCAGAGCCCAAAGGATACTAAAGGACAGTACCCACCCAGCCACAGCCTGTTCACCCTGCTGCCTTCTGGGAAGAGATATAGAAGTTTCTGCTGCCGCACCACCAGACTGCAGAGCAGCTTCCCCCCCCCAAGCTATCAGACTCTTAATCTCTCATTCATCCTCAGCCCTGCTCCAGTGATGATAGTTAATTTCTGTTTACCATTTTTCACAATTGATTTTCTGCAATTTAGCAGAAGGGAGTTACAAACTCTATTTCACTCTATAACTTGTTATATTGTAACAATAAACCTACCTACCTAGATGCTGTGGGTCCTAGCCTTTTGTCTATTATAAATAGATTTTAATAATTTTAGGCCCATTTCTAAATGATCTTTTATGTCCCAAATATAGGATACTAAAGGACGGTAATCACCCTGCCACAGCCTGTTGACCCCCAAAACTCAATTTCACTATATAACCTGTTATATTGTGACAAATAAATGTACCTACACCTACCTGACAGAGTCCAGAATCTCATTTCAAATCAGAGTGTGAATGAGGGAGAGATTTCAGGCAAAACTCTTAAACAGTTTCACCTCTGAGTCGCTGATTTGAGCCTGTGTGGAGGTTTGGCGAATTTTAGTTTGAGATAATATTACAGCTCCAGCGATCAGTATTTTCTATATCAAAGTTTAGTCAGATGACTTTGTGCAGTGTGAACGAAGTTACTCTCAATGCTAAACCAACAAGCAACACTGCAGCTCTTCAGCCTCTTACCAGACTAAGTAATGTAACTAAGTCTGTTTATTCAAGGTACGTGTACTTGTATTATCATTTTATGCAGTTTCATACTTCTACTCAAATACTGCTACACTAGTAAAACATGACTTTGCAGACTGAAGTTGTAAAACGTGATAACAATGCATCATGTTTTATAAGTTCATCATATGTTTTGTACTTAAACATATTAAACTACCAAACAGTGGAGTTTTTGACGTTGTGTTGTTGCTACTTTTACTTTTAAAGCACAGGATGTAAATACTCCTTCACCCTGACATTTATTATCTGGCTGACGTCTTTGTGTTTCCAGCAGCAGCCAGCTCTCTAAAAATAAAAACACTGATTGTACTCACCATTCTGTCCTGTCTCACGTCTCTCTAGTCTTTCTTTCTAGATTTTATTTCGACTCAAACGTCTGTCCTGCACTCGCCTGACGGTTTTCTCATCAATGAGCTTCCCTACAAACGGAGGCGTTAAGCTCAGACTCCACGTGCTGCCCGTCACGGCTCACGCAAGTGGATCAGTTTGTTGTTGTCGGCTCAGTTGAGGAAGTCTGACATGACAAGCAAATTATGGATGACGAGGCGAGGCTCCCCCGTCAGACTCCACAGATCTGTCATAGGTGAGCTCACAGACAAACAGGATGCATGTCATCCTGAAAACTCAACCTGCCTGAACACCGAAGAGGTTAAAAACAAGAGTGTTTCGTCGCACATCATTTCGGATCTGAAAGGTTTCAGTGTTTGTACATCGGAAGAGTTTCCTCACAGCAGGAAGTCAACACACCCACTGACTCAACACACACACACACACACACACACACAGGGCAGTGAATATACTGAAATGCAAAGACAGCACTCAACGTGGCTAAGTGACGTGTTTTAAAATGTTTTTCATTCAGATATTTGATGGTTATTTGATTTGTTAAAGAAGCTCTTTAATCTGCTTATCTGTCTGAAGACAACTGGAGCTAAACGTTCCTGTCATTTTTGAATACTTTCTCAGTGTGTGTTCTTGTCTGTTCTTGTTTTCACGTGTCCACATTTAGTTTCGGCAGCTGCCTTCTGTGAGAACTTCTGTGTGTGTGTGTGTGTGTGTGTGTGTGTGTGGAGGGGGTGATGAAGTATCCCAGCATGCATTTCACATCAACCAGCAGTGATGGCAGAGGATATGAGCCCGACCCATAACTGTGATCATTTGTGTTCTGCAGCTGTTCCTGTGACACCAAATATAGTTTTTATTACTTTAATCCGTCAAATGAACTATTTGTTGATTCGGTTGTTACTGTCTACCATGAGATGTGAGAAGCTGCGTGGGGGGGGGGGGGCTTTCAGTCGGTGTGCATGGTCATCATCCATCTCTTTGGCTCAAACAGAAGATAGAATGACTTTTGCAAGATAGACTTAAATAAAGCTCCTTCTGATTCTGATTGTAAGAGTGTAAATTATAATATTTGCTGCAGCCACGTTAGTTTGTCCGAAGGTAAAGAAAAAAAGCCAGAAAAGCCTGTTAAGTGTGACGGGTGACAAAAGTGGAGATTCTGTCCTGATCTTTACCTCCTCAAGGATCGTAGGGAGGTCACATGTGTCTTGTTGGACCGTTTCTAAAAGCCGCTCAGTCCTTGTGTAACTGCAGTGAGAGTGTCTGCTGGATGAGCTTCTGGTTCTCTGCTGGGAAACACTGGATTGCTCTTTCGGGTTGGGAGTTTTTCACTGCCCGAGCTCAAGCATCTCATGGTCTTGTTTTATTGTAAACATACCTGCAGGCACACTTAGCTAAAACAGATGCAGTCTAATACAACAGCCCTGTAATAAATGTTTCAGAGACGCGTTGATCCAACTGTGGGATCATTCTGGAGGATGGTTATGGTGAGGGTAGGGGGCTTAGGTGGGCTGTCAACACCTTTAACACGAAGGTGCTAGCACTTCCGGTCTGTACGAGACGGCCCAGAGCGTCTTAAAACAAAAACATAGTAGTGTGGATGGAGCATCAGCTCCACTTCCGTCACGACCCCAAACAAATCATCAGTATGCTGTTTTTACATTGCGGCCTCTGAGAAACGCTTTTTCTCCCATTTAGCTTCTAAACTAAAGGAAATAACAGTTTCAGTAATTATGAAGACATTAGCATTGCTTGTTGCTCTGGATTGCAATATAAAAGAATGACTTTGGACTCACACACAGACACACACGAGACCAAACAGACCAGTAACAGGAGGCGCTCCACAGATCAGCTGAATCTCCGTCAATACGTCTTAATAGTAAATGTATTGATTAGGCTTACCAGATGTTTGACAGCCATTCTGTTTTTGTGTAATTCAGGTCAGTAAGGTGTGAATCCTCGTCTGATACTGGAGCTCCTGCTCACCTGTAACAACAACATAACTGACTGAACTCAGAGCTGCTCGCACGTCAGACTGACTGACTGACCCAACAACTAACCCGCTTAACTACCTAACCAGAAGTGAAAGAAGGCAGATCTCTGCCGATGACAAACCACCAGGGACAAGAAGAAACAAGAAGTGCACAGCGGGGGAATAAAGGGAGTGAGAGAGAAAGTGATAGTGAAGGAGGGAAAGTCAAAATATGAGGTGAAGGAGAAAGCAGAAGCAGCAGGAATAGACATGTCCTGTTGTTCTGGCCGTTATTACCCTGATTCCAAGTGTTCAGGTAGAGAGAGAGCGAGAGAGAGACCTGAGGGGAGAGAGAGAGAGAGAATGAGTCAGAGAACGAATGAAAACATAGATAGAGAGATAATGAAAGAGAGGAAGAGAGATGCTCCAGGCGTTGATTATTAACACACCAGCAACAGCTGCTCATGAATCATTCAAATCATACAGCACAGCAGCAGCACACTGATATTACACACATTCATATAACATAACACAATAACAAACATGAATGCGACTCTGCGCCTCCGGACGGAGGAAAAACTAAAGAGCACACATTGACTCAAGCTCACACCTACACAGAGTTTCACACTCGGTCCACAACGGAAAATTAAGTCCGACTGAACTTTGAACCCCAAAGTTACGACTGCGACAAGATGCTGGCGATGTCTGCTAAACCCCTCCCACAGATAGCAACGGTCTAATCGCAGCTCAGCAGGTGTGTCAGAGTTTGTTTCCGGGATATGCACTCTGGATCCAAAACGTTTCCAGAAACAAACTGTAAGGAATGAGCTCAACTGAGTGTCGGCTGCTAACTAAGTTTAAAAGGCACTTAATTAATTCTTATTTCCAGTTTGTATTTCTGAATTTTATTCATCTTTTAAAGACGGCATGAATCCTGCGTAAAGCAGCGAGGGTTTTGTCTTCTTCAGATCATGTTCCGCATTTCTCTGTTTCAGGACGTCGTTACGCTTTAACAGCTTTTAAAAACCAACCGCTGCTCTAATTCTTTAATCCCTTCTGCAATTAGACTTTTAAATGCATAAAATCTCTTATTCATTTATTCTTGTCCATGGTGCACGTGAGGCTTGTTGTGCTGTTCCATATGTCGTGTTGTCTGTAGCTGCTCTAAACTAATCGCCCCCTGTGGGATTAATATATTTATTGAACTGGATTTTGTCGAGCATTTGTGAGTTTTATTACAAGGAGTAATTTTTATTAATGTTTCCAGTGGAAATGAACCTAGCTGCACATCGCCTCTTCTGTACCTCCTAAGCTTCCGTAGTCCTCCGTCTTCCCGTCACGGTTGCATTGCTGAGGGTAAGGTGTGTGGAAAAATGTATAGTTTTCTTTGGAAATTGAACTGTTCATGAAATAACTTGCATACTGTTTACTGTTACTGTTATTTTAGCCAGCTTAAAATACGTAGGATGTTTGCACCTACCTTTCATTACAGCAGGCGGCCTGTGTCACGTGGCCAACGTCATCATCTAATCATACACATTACACTGTCCCTCCAGGATTTTAACTATTAACACAAACTCAACAAATCCCCACAAATCTGATCATCGCTGTTTCCTGCAAAACGCTGTCATAGACACAGACATGAGCGGGTTCAACATTTCACACGTGCCGACAACAATTACAGCCAAGGACCGCGAAGACCAGGATCCAGATCTTCTTTACCAAAGCGGGGAAACTGTTTTTTAAAACGTGTAGTTTATCGGAGGGACAGGCTGCTGTCTTGTTTGCATGACACCTGACTGTGCGTGTGAGATTTAAGAACATTGTTTAGGAATCAAAAAGTTTAGTGTTTAAACAAGTATTATTAATTCAAGTATATTTAAATATATAAATATTTTAAAAATCACGTCTAACTTTGCAGTTTTCACATGTTCCCACAATTTCATTGCAAATAAACAGCCAACAACTTTGCAACTTTCAGCGCAGTCTTTTAGAAAAGCTGCCGCAAAATCAGGCATTTTAGACACAAACAAGTCCTGCAGGGACTGATTACAGCAAAGCCAATCAGATATTTATACAAAGAGAACGTTTTCTCATGCTTTCTTGAAGTCGTAGTGTAAAAAGTAATCCCCAATGGAGCAGCTTGCTATACTCATACATGCTTTAAAAAGGTGCATGAGTAAGTTCTGTATTTTCAATGTTTAGGGAGCAGACTGAAACTGAAACGGGTTTATCAGAAGTTGATATATTTATTAGAAGTATTCACTCAACCCTACTGCTAACGTTAGCACACAGCGTTAGAACAGTATTATTTATTTCCTCCCTTCAGATTGTAAACAACTCTACGTCTGATAATGAAACTGCTGTAACTTGAATTAATATTATACATAAGCTGTACATAAGATAAGCTATATATATGATACTATTGTCTGAAATTATAATGAATACACTAATATTAGTTCCACTCAAACCTTAACAAGACAGAAAACTGTTTTATTTGTGAATCAGCTGTTGAAATGTTACAAACACTCTGCAGGCTGACAAAGCGTAACCTATAAATATAATAATATTATACTGACATTAAACTTTTTATTTATTGTTATAATATTGTAGTAATACACAAATGTATACTAGTTACTCCTCCAGGGGGATGGAGCTTCTGCAGATGTAGATTCAGCCACAGCCAGTATGAATATTTGCTCCTTTTGCCGCCTCTTATCTTGAGAGCAACGTGTTTCCCTTCCCCGCGTTTTTTTATAAAATTATTGTTGCAATGTAAATTGTGTTTGTGAAGCAGAGTGCACGACCGGCAAAGCTGGTGCGTACACACCAGCGATCCAGAGATCCCTATTAAAGTTCCCTGCGACACAAGAACAACGCTGCCTCTTTGTTTCTACGTCGTCTTCATCGACCGCTGAGGAGGATGACTTGACCTGTTGGCTTTATGATTTCTGTACGCAGTCAACACATGCCTATTTCTGACCCTGTAGAGGGTTGACCTTTTCATGAGTCAGCTTGGAAACAGTAACACTCAGACAGAGAGCACTGAACCAACTCAAGGAGCTAATGTTAGCTACAGCTGATAAAATCTGCTTCTGTTATCACTGATGTTTACGAGCAGCTCTGGGATGCAAAGATTATACTGACACACAGAGATTATACTGTGATATAAAGACGTTCATCAAATCAAATCAGGTGAAAACATTCACGCATTATTATCTCCTCAGTGTCGTTATCGCTTCACTATAAATAAAAACTCTTTCTGCCAAAGTTTTTTTTAAAGGTTCATTCACAGTAAACAGCTTTATGTCATTAAATATATTAATGGTGTAGTTATTATCACACACATGTCTCTACTAATATACAGACTTGAGGTACTTTCACTTCACTTGAGTTGTTCCAAGTTCCTCTACAGCAATGCAGAGGATAACATTACTGTACATTACTGTCATTAATGCTGTAAATTAAACCCAAAACACTACATAATTTAGCCAACGTTAACTCTTCATGGTTCACGTGGAACATTAAAATGCTGCTTAACATGTTTATGCATCAGAAATAATGATAAAATATATAACACTGACAGGGTTGATTCTGCTGCATGGTGAGAAGGGGAGAGACAGTAACGACTCATTCTTTCACCTTTTATAATAAAGTATAGTTAACTGTAAATATGATTCAAAGCAGGAATTTAAGGATAATCTACATTTAAGGCTGATCTGCGCAGGTCTGAGCGTGCATTGATTTTAAGGCCATAAATTCTAATAAAAATAAAAATTTTATATATTTTTTATTAAGATAAAGGACATTACATGTTTGCAATCACATATTAAGAAGGAACTTGTCTGAGATTTTAAATAAAAACAAGAATAACAAATATTTTATTCATACTAATGCGCAACTTCCACTCACATTAAACCGAAGTCGTTCCACATTTGTAGGAAACAGCAGCTGCTATTGATCAAACACACGTGTGAGATGTTGATCACAATAAGAAACAGTTTCTGTCTCTTTTAAAATGACGTTTTTCCACCGTCCCGGCTCTCCCAAACTACCGCACAGCCAAAACTTACATATTTACACTACAATAAGAAAGTTTTCTCTCACGTTTCCATTACATTTAAAGTAATGCTCATTTCAGGTGCTGGCAGCTCATTAAAATTAACAGCTCGTCACTGTATAGAATAATAAGATCTCCATATAACAAAAGTATTTTTATAAATAATAATTTTACAATAGATAAAAGGACTGAAATTAGCCTACTTTCAGGCGTACTTGAATGTTCTTAATGATAAACATTACTGAACACCCAAAACTTACATATTTACACTACAATAAGAAAGTTTTCTCTCACGTTTCCATTGTTTCGCTTTGTTTTAGTGTAAAAAGTAACGGCCATTACATCAGCTAGAATAACTCATACATGCTCTAAGTTGATTGATTGTTTACGCATCATTATTTATGAACTGCTCACCACAGTATAGAATAATAAGATCTCCCTATAAAGTAAGTGTTTTGATAAATATGTCATGATTTTACAATAGATACTACGACTGATAGACGTCTGTGTAATTTTTTTATTGCTATACTTTTACCTTGTAAAGCACCTTGGCTGTTTTAAGTGTGCTCTCTAAATAAAATTGATATTAATATTCTGAAATATCAACACTGTGACTCCATCGTCTTTCCTGCACTAGTTATATTACTGTACTCAGTAAAAACACATATTGTTACACACTTCTTCCCTTGGACTTACATATTTGTCTCAGTATAGGTACTGAGGAAGTATTTATTGATGCCTTGTATGTACTTCAGTAGGTGTACTCTAATATAGAGTGTTGAGTAGAGAATCTAAGTACATCTTCCATCTCTGGTTATTAGAATTAAACAACATCACTGTCACAAAGGTCATCAGACTGAAATGATTCACCCCACTAACACACCGCAGCTGCTTCTTTACACGCCTCCATTCAAAGTCGTGTCTCAGGTGTACAAGTTTCTCCCGTCTCTCTCACCTGTTGGTGTTTCGTCTTCCTCCCGGTCTTTTCCTAAACTGCGTCTTCCCCCTCGTGCCTTCTCCTTTTCGGTCCTCGTCGCGCTTCGCTCGTCTTCCTTTTTCTGTCTCATCAGTTGCTTTCTGACGGTTTTATTTTTTTTGTTTTTTTTGTCTACCTTCTTCTCTGCCACTTCCTTTTCTACACCCACCCACTCTCTCATTACCACACAAACACACACACATGCACACACATTTTTCGCACACACATACACTTTCTATTCCCCTCATCCAAGGTTAGACTGCACGCCACGGGCTTCAACATTGTGTATCTGTGTATTTATTTTCATGTGTGTGTGTGTGTGTGTGTGTGTGTGTGTGTGTTAACCCATCAGCAGTGCTTCACAGTGGGGCTGTATAAACTGATTTTCCACGCCTTGTCCCCCTCCAGCTGTCAGATGAGCTGCAGCAGGATACAGTCCTACTGGGACACAGTCAGGACGGCTAACCTGCTAGCGTTATTAGCCGTCACCATAGAAATAAAATGAGATGAGAGGATAATCACACCGCAGGGGAATCTTTTAGGGGTTTTGTTCAAAGCTGTGAAAAAGCTGAAAAAGGCTGCTGTTTGGTTGTTCAGGCCTGTTTGCTGCTGTTTTCTCGCCATGCTGTTCTTCTTGTGTCAGGCTCTCCCTGTCCTCTCTACACACCGTCATGAAATAAACATAATACGTTAAAAATACTCAAGAGTTGTGGTTTTTTTGCTCATCAAAGTGACATGTTGCATAAAGAAACGACACAGAGAGACAACAGGAAGGATTACTCAACAAGATGGCAGGCCAGGATGACATGTAATCAACCTCAAACATCAAACTGAACGAGTTGAAAGCCTGTCGTTACACCTCTGGTTGTGAATAGTCAACTTTCTCAAGTCTGTGCTAACATATATATATATAAAATATCCTGTCATTCTAGCTGTTTGTGGCTTTGTTATGCTAGTTACAAACAGCTAGCACAACATCGCTAGTTAAAATACTTTACAATACTTATTCTAAAATAAATGAGCATTTGGTTCAGCACTTTAAATTAGAAGTTGAAAACAAAGTTAACCATTAGTAGTTAACTTTAGTTAGTAGCACGCACCCAGTCACCGAAACAATTCCCCCCACCTCCTTTCACAGACTTTGTGTCTGGCCGTTTCTGTGGTGAGGACGGCCGGCGATATCCGTAATATCCAACCGTGCCCTCTTCTAATGTCATGAAACTTTTCAGCTGTAATCTTTGCTGTATAAGTTTATTTGTACAGTGCATGTCAACAATAAGGCAATTAAAAGTGCTTAACATAAAACATAAAAGCAACATAGGCCTCACTCAGAACAGGAAGCAAATTGTAAACGTGTTGCAAAGTGAATGGAAATAGATGCAAATCCACTCCAGCTGAATTTAAGTTGTGTGAGTGTGTAGCTGTGTACAGAATTGTTAGACTCCAGCGGCTGCAGAAAGAAGTGTGATTGTATAGAAGTCTGTGAGAAAATGTTTCTACTACTCAGCTGATTTATTCCCTCAGTAAACACTTTCCTGATGAGTTTCTGGTCTCAGTCACTAGTTTCAAGTCTTCTTCAACACAGCATGATGTTCATTTAGTAAATTATGGTCCCATTTAGAGGAACAGAGACCAGGAAGCAGGGGAGGCTTTAGGGCGGGGCTACAAGCTGATTGACAAGAAAAAGCTTATCAGGACTCGGCAGCTCATTTTTCAGTAAGTACGTTTTGTTTTCAGCCTGTTTGTCGCTAGCTAAAATTAACATCCCAGCTAACATCACAGTTATTGTGAATTACAGATGCACCTTGCTAACCAAGCTAGATAGCTCCACCCCCTCGTCCAAATATGGTCACGTCTGGTGAAAAAAAGAAACAATATGGCGACGACTGAAATGCCAAACTTCAGGCTTCAAAACGGCAGTCCCCAAACCAACAGGGTCATGGCGGCTACGTCCATTTCTTTTACACAGTCTGGGATAGCACCGCGAAAGTGGCTAATTTAGGCCATTTGAAAGAAACTACAAAGCTCGTAGGGGACGTAACCATGCACGAACACTACCAAGCAGAGGAGGAGCCATTTGGGGCTTATCCCAAATCTAAGGGGTCCGTGGGCATGCACGCCCGGGAGACATTTTCCCATTAAGCCAGCTTAATGCACTATATTTCATGCCATTTGAGATGATAGACTGCCTAAACATCTAAACACTATCTGGGAAAAAGATGAATGTTGCTTTGGAAGAGCTACAATCTATTTTTGATTTAATTGTTCTCCAGCTCAAAAATTGTTGAAGATCACTTATTTTCACTTCTGGCAAATAAAACTTATCTGATGTTACTATTTTTAAGTTACATAAGGTACGGTAGGAATATGTTGTAACAGTTTCTGATCCTCATTGGATGTGAGAATCTCTCAGAGGGCTGCGATGCGATTATAAAACGATTATCGAATCTTCGAATAATCTCTTTTTCTATGTGATTTTTGGATAATTACTAAGCATTTCATTTGCACATTAAAATCCAAAACAAAACCAAGTTTGCATCCCTAATTTATTTTACGGATTTAAGCTCCTTTATGGTCACTTCTCTCACCCCTACTGCAAGAAATATCAAATGCATTCTCTTGCATTAACTTCTGGCATCTGTGCTCCCTTTACTCATCTTCTACTCACTCCGTTCTTCTAAATGCATTTTCATCTCTTGTCCCTCTTCACCTGCTTTCACATTTCATTTCTTCTGGAGTCCCTGGATCACTGACTGCAGTTAATCCAGCTGCTGTCCCTTGCTGTGATGCCCGTCCTTCCTCTTCCCTAGCCGATCATCTGAGTGACAGATCAGCTAACATTATCTCGGGAGTAGTGATGAGTGGATGAAGCATTATGAAGCTTTGGGGCTTTAAGCTAAGCAAACACAGATGGATCTAGTGGCCTGTAAAACTTATAGCAGAACTTGTAGACTGAGGCCGAACAACGCCACCATAACTCGCTAATACTTATAATTTGAGGCTCATGTGTGCAATAAAAGTCCCTAACCTGATGGCTGACATTTATGAGATTCAGACATGTGATGTGATTCATTAAATTAGCCTATTATTGCTTTTGTTACATAAGGACAGGAGCATCTCAAATCTAAAAAACGATTTTGAACATGAGAGAAAAGTTAATTGTGAGCACCAGAACCAGAGAGATTAAAGACTTAAGAAACTTTTGCAGGTGTTGATAGGAGCTCTTTTCAGGTCGACATTTCTGAATAAAAAATTATTTACTCTGAAATTCTAATAAATTTTGGGATGCTAGAGTTTTGATTCTATGAGTTTTAAGCCCTAATCATCACGCCCTGATATGATCATACGAGCTCAAGCCCAGTGTATTGAAACTGTGCGCTTCACAGCCGGGAGTCAGCCGAACATCTCTAACAGCGAGTGTAGGGAACAAGCCAGTGTGGGTTTGATTATTTTATATCAGAAAGGAATAATCCAGATTCTCTCTTTGTCTCTCCCTGAGAGACAGACAGCTGAAGTGCCCCAAAGGAGGGGGTGAAAGGTTTGCTCTACTCCCAAGTGCTGCTTGGGCAGTTTCAGCCATAAAACCTACCACCTCCCGTGAAGCAGATATAACAGACTCTATGCATCACTGTTAAAATGACAATATTAACCTTGTTCAGAAACTAACCTCAGCAGCCATAAACCTCTAAACACTCCCAAGTCTCAAGAGGGAAGGGTAACCATGGTAACGAAGTTCCTCTTTCAGATGACCTCAGACATCAAAGACCCCCTTCTTCAGTCTTGATTCCCTACCCCACCAAAGAGCCATTAATTTGGACTCTTAACACGCCCTCTCCCTTTTCACACCCAGAGAAAGACTCTGCAGATCGCAATCCTTTGTGGGAACAAGAAATGTTGTCTCGTTAAACTTGCCTTCTTGTTTTAAGTAAAGAATCTCTGTTAAGTCACTTAGTAGGTCTTTCCACGTTAATTTGAGTAGTTATATTACCATGTTGTTGCTGTTGAAAAGAAGAATCCACAAATAAGTAAATTTTGCAGTGCTTTTAATCTCACATTTAATCTCACATTTAATCTCACATTTAATCGATGTTGTAACTAATGCTTTGTTCCCAGCACCGTTAGATACTCTCTTAGAAATGATATGACACAGAAATAGTACGTGTTAAATGACCAATATTCCTAGCTAACCAAGGATTGAGTTAAATTTATGTCAGAGGGGATTCTTTGTTCCTCTCATGGAACCAGCGCCCCCCAGAGGACAAATTAAGTACACGTCATTGTTTCAATGCCTCGCTCGCTGTTTAATGTATCACTCTGTATTTTATTGTTCGTGATCTGATGCCATGTTCGTATAACTTGCTTATATATTCTCTAAGTAAGAACGTTTAACAGCCAATATTATCCAGGAAGTATTTAGTCAAGATGCTCTTTCATCTACGACTGACAGTAGCTTCCTTTCCTTTATCAAATGCTTAAAACTAAGAACGGTATAACTGTCTGTGACATTTAAGGTTTGATTGTGGGAGGTATTTGGTTAGGGTCAGGCGGTGGATAAACTGAGGAACAACAAGCAGTAAGGCTAAAACAAGCTACATTCTGTGGTCGAGTTGATTAGCTTTAATCCTTTATAAACTCCTAGCCAAATTGAAGTTATTATCATAACTTGCGTTCATTGGTTCTCTTTCTCTCTTCCAAAAATTCTTTCCACAATAGACCGCTAAATTCACATTGAACTCCATCATTTCCATTGATTGCACTCTGTTTAATCATTATTGTTTTATTTCTTTGATATATTTAACCTCACTTTGTATTTACTTTAGCTAGTGAATAACTTTCACCGTGATCACAGGGGCTGTGTCTGTGTACTGTTTAAATCCAGGTCACTGGACGGAGGATTCACAACTGATTAAATTTATAGAAATGATTAAACAATTACTAACTGATCAGTAGGAATAATTGTGTAATTATTAAAACCATACCCAGGGAGTTCTGAGACCCTGGGCGAACGGAATTTCAGATGGTGCTTTTTTATGAATTAATATTTGAATAACTTTTTCCGAACATTAATATTCATAATTTTATTAACCGATAATTACGTAGTTACACTACAAGAGATAATATCACCCAATAACATCTAACATCTAAGTGTTCACTGGTTCTCTCCGAGGTTTACCTCTCCGCGTAAAAAACGCTCCATAACATCAGCTGGTTAGTCAGCTAGCAAGCTCGCTCACTGAGGGGGCGCCAGTGAAACAA